ATTAGTTGTCTGATGCTGCTAAGTTAGTTGTATTTTATTGCTAGGTTATTTATTTCTTGCTGCTAGGTTAGTTGTCTTTTATTGCTAGGTTTTTTAATTTTTTTTTAATAAAAAAATTGTAAACCATAGGATTTGAACCTGGTACTTCATGGAAGCAAGACAAGCAATGCAACCACCACTACACCACTCAAGGTTGAGTGTCTTTTGTGGCTAGGTTATTTATTTCTTACTGCTAGGTTATTTGTCAACAGGTCAACGCCGGAAGTCAACGGTCAACGCCGGAGTCAACTAATAATTATTTTATTATTTAATTAATGTATATTTTAATTGATTTTGATCTAGACAAAATGAGTGGCTAAGATTGAGTCTGACGTACTCATTTTAATGAGTGGTCTCATTGGATCCGTCCCCTATAATTATATTATTATGGTATGTTTATTTGTTTTATATAAAAGTTTGGCTCCACTATGGAGCCAACTGTTGACTTTATAGCAAAACCGATAATTTAGGTAAGTTAGTGTTTTTGTCTCGTAATTTAGTTTACTTTCAAATATTGCTCTCATAAGTTGTCCTTTTTTGAGTCTTTGACTTGTTTTTACGGTTCTTCTTTCTTCTTTTAAGGAAAAAATCCCTTTTTCAACATTATTTTAATTATGAATCTTGAGGTATATGAATTATTGGCATTTAAATAAGAAGTACCCCTCGTGCTTAATGAATGTGAAATGTATTATAACTTGCAAGTGCAATTTTAACATACAAACCTGCTGCTTTATAAACTCGAATTTTATTATGTAAAGAAAGTATATGAATTTGTTGTTTAATGTAAATTAAACAATAAATGATAAGTTTGAAATATTTTGGCAACTGGTGATGTATGGTTTGACCTTTCAACGGTGTTAAATGACACCTCCATAAATTTTGTGAAAAGTTAGAAAATTTTGAATTGTCTTCTTCTCATAATCATTGTGGTTGGATAATTTTTGTTGGGTGATCGTTTTGTGAGAAAACTTTTAAGTGCACTTTGACTTTATTTTGAGATATATTGTATTTTTTTTTTAGCGAAGAGTTGTCACATAATACATGGCTAGATTTAGATGTGAATTCCCATAAGAGAAAAGATGATGTTAAGACCCGAAAGAGGGTAGTCTAGGGTCTAACAATAAGAATGTTGTTAGGTAATCCCTACACTTTAAAAAAAAAATAAAAAAATGAAGTTAGTATTATAATCAAATCCAACAAATTAAAAATTTGATGTCAACGGACATCAATATAATCTGGATAACAATCACATATTCAAAACCAAACACACATTAAAAAAACTAAATAAAACATAATTTAGGGTCATCCCCACAATAATATTTGTTCTCTTATAATGTGCACTGCGGCCAGTCATTGAATTATGTTGATAAAGGTTTCTCAAATCATCAATTAGATAAAATATCTAAGCCATCCAATGATTTTCCATGCCCTCTTACATTTGAAGTGTGTCAATAAATACAGTGCTTGCACTTTATGTAGTAGTGGAATATGGTTTGAACTCAACGTGTTGTTATCTATTTCAAGTAAACACAATGGTAGGGACTTAATTAATTGCCTTCACAAAATATACTTGGCTGTAAAAATGATATGTTTGCCACAAACTATGAAAAGAAGTGGACGGGTTGGAATACCTATGAAAGCTAATTACGGTTCAATCTCTAATGCATTTGGTTCATATGGTTGCAAACTGAAAATTAATCAATCCACGCCAAGTATAAAAACAAATTTATCAATATATAGAAATAAAAGGAGAGAGATCAAAAGCGGTGCAATAGAAGATTTAACATAATAACAAACATGATAAATTTAACAAAATTTTGAAAAAAGTTCAGAAACATACATAAAATACAACTCCAATTAACGGAAAATATGAACATATAATTGACCAAGGGCTATTTTATGCCATAATT